TATTGTAACCATGATATTGGCTGACTGACTCACATGCAGATTATTTTGATTTGATTTGAATCTGCTCTAGCAGCGCTTCTTCAGACAAATTTAAAACACACTGCATTCCGTCCAAAAGGGAAGCCTCACATCAGACATGTTCCTGTTTGACAAAAAGCTGGCTGACAGCCTGCTGATTGGGTCTGTGCCCTTCCTATTCCCTTCTCATTGTGTATCCTTCTTCCTGGACATATTTCTCCTCAGTGACTTTTTCCTGTCAGCCATTTTGTGAACATACATGTGTGCACACTGTATATGAGGGGTCCTATTCTAAATCAGCTTGTCTCTCATTCAGGAAGCTTAAGCAGCTATTTAACACCTGCAGTATGAATTATATAACAGTGCTCCATATGGACAGTCCTCTGCATAAACACACACACATCTTGCTGGTACGAGCTGGAGACTAATCACCCGCCATCATTTCTGACTCCGCCTCTGTTAGCTTTCTCTCAGTCTGTGGACAGACTGGGGTTAAATTTATATTTGCTAACATTTCTGGGTGTTTGTTTCATCCTTCTTTGAGTGACAGATGGGTGGGGTTTACATGGTTTACCTTAGAGCTTGGGTAAAGTTTGAATTACAGATAGCTATTTCCCTCTTGCAAACATTTTCCCTGACTAGACATTTCAGACTCACTCACTCTCTCTTGTATTTCCTTAACTGGAAATCTCACCAAATGATCATCATCACAATGTCCTCATTTTCGCTCTAAATTGTCTAAATTGTGAATGTGAGTGTGACTGGTTGTTTGTCTATGTGTGGCACTGCGATGGACTGGCGACCTGTCTAGGGTGTACACCGCCTTTCCCCCGATGTCTGCTGGGATTGGCTCCAGCCCCCTGCGACCCTGTATGTAGGATAAGCGGTTGACGATGGATGGATGCATGTCTTCATTTTCAGAATGCCGTTGTGCTTTGAGGGTGTGTGGGGGATTTTGGTCTCTGTTATGCCGTATTCTGTAGTATTCTCTCAAATATTCAATAAATTGTCAATTAATCCCATGTAAAGAGCAAAACCATCAATGAATTAATTCTATCACTACTAATTAATTATTTTGATTGAACTATCTTTTTATGAAATCTATGCCACTGCAGTATTTTTTAGTAGGTTTCATTGATGGTTAATCTAGTGCTAATAAAGTGAAGCCTGCTAGCTAGTTTAGGCAGTCAACTCGAGTCAGCCACTATACACACTTTTCTAACTGCTACATATATCCAGTGCACCCTTTTCATTAGGGTGGTGTACCTACCCATCAGCGCTCTACTCAGTCTTCTCCTGCCATGCCTGCAGGTCGACTCCCGTGACTCCCCATTCCCTGCAGTGCCGAGCTTGGTGTTTCCTTGTATGGAGCGGCGAAGTCAGAGTCTGGACACTAAAGATCAATGCGTTACATATTCTACATTGGCTGAATGATTGGTCAGTTGACAGAAAATTTATCCACAGTGACTAATCTCTTATGTAATTTATCAAGAAGAAATGTTAGCAGTAAACATTTACTGGTTTTGGCTTTGCGAATGAAAGGTTATGCAGTATTTTCTATTTCATATCATTTTGAAATATTATTGGCTTTTGTAGTGTTGAACGGCCAAAACAGACATCGCCTTGACCCCTCAGAGCTTTTGATGACCATTTCTTATTGTTTTCAATCAACCCTAGACAAACCCTTCAACCTGTTCCATTTTTTTGCCATTTGTCTTAACCCCTCAAACAACCACATTAAGCTCCCTCCTTTTATTTCCCTTTCCATGCTAGAATTGTGCTTTTATACAAGGATCAGTGCCTTTCATGACACCTTCTTGTATGTCCCTGTCTCTCTCTCTCAAACTCAAATGTTATACTCATACACTCCGCTAGCTCTCTGCTGTTTGTTTGGAGGACGGCTGGTGCTGGTAATCAGCTTTCACTGGCAGCCTGAAAAATAAGTTAAGGCAGTGAGCATCTGCCAGCCATCATCTGTGTATGAGTGTGTATGCGAGTGTGTCTGTCAAGTGTGTGTACATCTGAATGTCACCACGAATAGTTGTCTTTAAGCTGAGCACATTAGAAAGTGAAACAAAATTGAATTTTGGGGCTGTCAACCAGCGCACTTTCAACAGCCTGTCAAAATCTAATCACAGATGGCTTGATCAGACAGTGTATCTTTCTCTGGTAAAAGGTTTTCTGCCTTCCACATATGAAATTTAGAAAGCTTCCACCCACAGTGAAAGACTGCCTGTAGGCTTTTGCATACAATGTGTGCATGCTTGGCTTCACCGCTGGGCCTGTTGGATCTGTAACAAGGGTGATGGATGGAGCTTGTTACTCACAAGTGATTTGCATCATCTTTACTGTTTCCACAAAGCTGCTGTGGGAACCATCGCAAACCATTCTATTTCCCTCCCTTTCCACGGTAGCAGATCACACTGTCAGAACCCATCTAAAGTTGTTTCTCCTTTCTTTGGTCTTTAGCTTCTCAGGCATGGCGGGGGAAAAAGAGAGATTGGTCTTTGACGCTACCGATCCACTTTTTCCCTGCCTCCCTCTGCTCCAATCGACCCTCCTCCGCACGGTGATCCACTTTTCCTTCTGAATGTTCCCAGGCTATACATCTCTTTTTCCCTCTTCCTCTCCCTCTACTGTATCTCACTCTCTCCCTCGCTTTCCTTCCCCAATGCGATGGCTTTGTGTTGCGGTGCACCTTCAGGCTGTGTGTGGGATGGTGTTGTGGGCTGGCATCTGGCAGCCTCTGATAAGAGAGCGAGTGAGCTGGTGCTATTCCTTCTGAGATGTTTTTAAATTTTTTTTTTTTTGGGGGGGGGGGGCATCGTCCAGGGAGACCATTGGGCAAGGTTTTTTACTGTGTCAGACAGACCTTGTATAAAAAGTACTGTACAATAGACTTTGACCACGAAGTCAACACGTTTGTGTATGTCATTATTTGCTGTTTTATGATGGTTTCGTCATATGCTGCACCAAATCTTGAAGCTGCGTTAACTGATTTTCATGGCCACTTGGCAGCAGTGGAACAAGCTGAAAGAACAACTTATGACACATCACCTCAAAAATTTGTAATAAACATTTTTTTTGCCTCATCCAGCAGACATTCCCCACCATCAGGACTCTGAGAACTCTGCCTCTGACTGGCGAATACTCTTTATTCAGTTGGTTAGGTTGGTTTAAATTAGGGGTTAGGTTAGGGTTATATTTAGCCAATCAGAGCTCCACGTACTGCCTTTGCAATGTGTTCTCTTGTGCAAAGCTAGGCAACTAGTTAAACTCAAAAGTCAATAGCAAAAAGCAATTGTTTCCTCTTGTGGTTTTTAGTTTTGTTTGTGAAACTGAAACATTATAGAGATAAGAATATAAATCAGTTCCCATGCATTTATATCCATATTGAAAGTAAATATTCCTACCTAAGTATAAAGCAAGCACTCTACTGTATGAAAAACACAGCTCAACTACCACAACGGCTTCTAATCACAAAACGGAGTGCTAGTTACTGCTGTACTGCAAGCTAGGCGAGCATATGTTTTACCAAAACAATAAAAATGTTTCCAACTTTACATCCCTTTAAAATGCAACTGTTTGATATAAATTTACACATTACTTACAGACCAATGGTCTCGAAGGCTGAAGTGTATCAGAAAAACATTCAGCAGGAACATGAATCCAGCACTGCCTGTCTTGCCTCTGTGTTCAACTGAAGAGTGTGCTTGACTGAATAATTACCTCTGACTTGTAGATGGCAGCACACAGCATTAACCAGTGCAAAATATAATATATAAATATTGTTTTATTTTTTTTTTTTTACTTTTAACGTATTAAGCTCACTTTTTAAATGTATTTAACTTAGAACTTCTTTGAATTATTAACTTAACTTTAAACACAGCACACGTCACTATGCCCGTCTTACCTTTTAGCCAAAAATGGTTGTGTTTGAGAGTAGGGTTTGAGGGCCGGAAAACTATAACATGAGCTAAAGAGGCTTAAAGGCTTTGTGGAGTTAAGGCTGCGTAGTTGATTTGTCACTAAAGAGTGACACCTTTCCTTTGACATTGAACGTTGCTATTTGGTGCATTGTTAATATAAAATATATTGATTAGTGCAGTTTTAAGATTGGCCTATTTTTCATTTTCTGTCACAGAGGTAAAAACTACAAAGACTTAAGTTAGGATTTTGAGTGCGCTTGGAGAGTTTAGATCTTCCTGATACAGCTGTAGCTTCTGGCAACACATGTCTAGCTGGAACACGCTCCTGGCAATGCCTGGCCACATACTTCTTTCACTTTACTGATTGTGAATAGATAATCTGAGCCACGGGCTGCTGTTTATCACAGTTGAAATCTTTTTCTAGGAAGTTTTTCAATTAATTCCTTACCTCAGTGGATAAATACTGCAATATCTGTATATTAATTTAACTCAGTTCACTAGCTTAATATTGCATTTGACCTAGAGACATGGGGGTGGGGTATAGGGACTAACATTATTTGTCATTGCGCAATTAATTGCTAATGTGACTCCAGGGACAGAGTCAGACTTACCTTATTGGTAAGCATATCCATTTTAGGTCTCAAATGTGAGGCATCAAGGGCCACAGATTGATTGTGCTTTTGCTAGCAGTGTTATCGGAGAAGAGTGCCAGACTGGCTGGCTACATCGCTTCTATTCAGTGGCTCCATCGACCACTCAAATGTGTCCCAAAATCCCTATTCATAAAACTTTAGTATATTATAATCTCATCACTAGTGGAGTCTGCGGTGAGTGGTTTTTTTCTTGTTCAATACAAATCCCTCTACTTCCCTTGAATTTCACGTTTAATCCCATAGGTTTCACATGGGCTTTACACATTACACCACGAAAATGTTTCCCACATATTTCACATGTGATTTTAACATGTTTTACATGTTTAACATGTTTTACATGTTAAAATTCACACGCGCTACACGTTGCTGCCAAACAAGGAAGAAAAAAAGATGCACTGTACTATCTGCAATCATTTATTAGAATCAGCTCGATTAGCATGTTAGGTGATTTAAATATGATGTCCTATAGCAGTGAACCTTTGGCTTTCCATTTATTCTTAGTCAAATCACCATAAAATGTATTATCATCCCATGAATAAACTTCCAAGATCTTTATCCATCTCTCATCCTCGGGGCTCCTCTGTTTCAGAGTCTTGATTCTCCTGTTAGACACGAGATCAAACACATCATGGAGCACACAAAGACACATAGTGAGAAAATACACACATACACACACACATACACAATCTTGGCCCTGGGTATCTCACCCTTTGCTCCATCTCACGCTTGAAAGGTTCAGAGGCTCCGGCCCAGAAAGTTCAGCAGTCAGGAGCGATGCCAACCAAATATTAAATGAATAAGAGAAAGAAGTGAGATGCTTTGACTGGATAAAGGGAGCAAAAGCATGAGCCGTAGACTTGTCAATTACCCATTTATGTCTGATATAGAGCGGAACCTGTGACTTGCCTCGGGAGGTGTGAGGGGTGTTATGTGATGGATACAGGAGCGTATCCACGACTGCAGCTATATATGTGGCTAGCATTAAACTCTATTTGTGTGGGAGCTGTCTGAAACTGTACAGCAAACTGACTCATCCCCACATATTTATCTTGTTTTATACTGTATACAGGTTATATATCTGCACCTCTACAGCCACTCTTATTGAGCAGTCAAGGAACCCAGGAAGCTTTTTAGGCACTCAGAAACCTGCCTCGCATTCTGGAGAAACTGAAGGGAACCAGGATAAGTTTAGTTTAGTTGCTGGGCTACAAGTCCCGGCCCCCCCAAAGGTCCCTGCTCAGGAGGAACTCAGGATTGTGTTTGCTGTACTTCGAGTGTCACTGATTAGTTGAAAACAAGCTTTGAGCTTAGCTTTTACTACTTGACAGCAAATTGTGGCTACTTCAGCCTAGTTTAGCCGCTCTGACAGTTTGTTTTTCTCCAGTTCTGCATGTTAGTACTGTTTTGTTACTCAAAGTTCGTACTACTGTTCAAACATAGTTTAAAAATTGGTAAAAAGCTAGTTTACTGATTTTTACAACCACATTAACATGAAAATCAGTAAACTAAGCTGTTTTATTTGCTACCAAGTCATGTTAAATGAGTGACTAATTAGCTAATCTTCAAAGTTTTTAAGATGGAAATGCAAAGAGGAGTGCACGTTGTTCCAGATTTAGATCCTGCACTGAGAAGCTAAGGATATGAGGCTAAAAGGTCCAAAATGGGGGCTAAGATCTCATAAAGCTCTCTTTGTCAAAGTCAAAATGATTATTCTTCTCCTTTCCAATTATTTGCTTGCTTGTAATTAGAGCCCAACTGATATTGGATTTTTAAGTCCGATACTGATTTTAATATTTTAAAATCCCATAGCTGGCTATATTCTTTTTTCCCTTTATTTTAAGAAATGCACAATATAAACAAAGACAATCCCTAACAATTGTTAGGTTGAGACCTCACCAAGATACCATGACATAATGCAGTTTAAAAATAAACTTTATTGTTAGAAAAAGTATATTTTGCAAATTATAGAGTACTACTACTAATGAACATTAAATTAAATAGTAGATGTATTGTGGGGGCCAGCAAAACTAGCAAAACTATAGTAAATACCAATATAGTACCACTATTAAAAATAATAATAATACTATATCATCTCTCATGTCATTGCTATCATAATAATGATAAACAGGGCTCTCGTATATAGGCAAATAATTATATATATATATGCCACAATGATTACTTTCTACTTTTCTACTTTATCACCTGCATTCTGTTAATTCTCTCCAAAGCTACGAGAAAGCATTTCCTAACCACCATCTGGCTCTAAAAAATGCAGTCGAAGATACAGTGATACAGAGGAAACACTGCCCTTGAATTAACCTAATACTACATGGCTGTCTACATCGAGGACCTGCAACTTTCAGATTTCACACTAACGTTTCACTTTTGAAAGGTGAGCCAACTTAGATAACTTTGTAAGGTTGGAAGCCATGTCAGATACTTGTTCAGCTCACATTTATTCACAAGTCACATCTGGTTAAATCATTTCTGACACGCCGACTGTAACTACAGACAAGCAGCTCGCAGATGTATTTAGAATATATCAAACACTATAGTTCAATCGCTCATTAACGTTAGCGCTCCTCCACTGATTAAACATGTCATGAGACAGCTTTGTGGCTAATTTAGCAACGGGTGGCATTAGCTGCAGTAAGTGAGATTGTTTAGCAGTAATAAATTAGAGAGAAATGAGATGACCAGTCGCTAGAACTGATAAATCTACAATCATGTCTGTCAGCAGCGTAGCCTCCAACGCTACCGCAACATTAAACATTGCTGTGAGCCTGGAGAGGGCAGTGAAAAACAGGAGGATTAGCAACTCTGGTCTCCCAAGAGGAAAAGGCTCAAAAAAAGAAAGAGGCTATTTTTATTATTATTTAAGTCATGTAATTGACATGACAAAAGGATCAACTCACCTGGAACAACCAGTGTGACAGCTACCAGGAGCTACTCTTTGTAGGTCAGCTGATGTTTTCTTCTGTGGTGCTGCAGGCTCTACTTGCAATGGAGTAAAGTGAAAGCTGTGAAATGTCTGCAATTTCTGTTATGTGTTGGAGCTAGTTTGTGATACTCTTGCTTGTCATTTGGATTGAGCTTAAATTAAGAAAACATGTAGTTTCTATTGGTCATATTCATTCACTTTTACAGTAGTTTGGAGCAACTGACAGTTACCAAAAACATTTTTTCATCCTACTTCTGTTAGTGTGTTCTCTGCCTGCCATTAGTGGCAAGTGTTGACAGACAATTAGGTATTACAGGAAAACTACACACATGCTGTAATTTGATATCAATGGACAATTATAAACACCTGCTAACTGTATCATTCAGTGAAATGGTCTGGTTAATTAAAACATGTGAAATGGGAATTAAATCTGAAATGCCAATGACCAACAATGATTTCAGATCTAGTTCCAGTTAATTACATTACCGAGGTAGAGTAACGTCAAGCACATCGTCAACGTGCGACAAACTCCAGATGGTTTGAGCAACCTACATCAGTATGGCGATTGAAAAGAAAATAAAACCCTGTCAAAGCCTGATTCTCCATCTGCACAATCAACGTCTTAATCATGCTTCTGGCACGTCTTTACCGCATATCCCTCCACAATTCAGTGCAACCTGCTCTGCTCAGATGAGTCAGCTTACCTACACTGGCACATTTGCTGATGAATATGAATTAAGCTTATATCGGGCAGCCCAGTCTGCTGGTGCACATGGTAATATCTCTGCCATTAACCTTAGATTTAACCAACTCGCGTATCTTAATTTCTCTTTTAAATTAATTAACTTTTTTCATTATTAATTCTTTTATTTTCATCTCAAGGCTGCTTGCATCCCAAAATCACTTCTCTGACCTTAAGTCTTCCATTCTAAATATCTTTACAACTGCAGGAAATTGATAAGAAGCAGTGAATTCAGGGGCGTAGAAACCACCACAAACTAAACATTACGCCAGGCAAAACAACAAAGATAGACACAGTCTAATCCGATAAAGGTTAATTAGGTCGGCAATGGTTAAAAAAAAAAAGAACAATTTCATTTATTAACTGCAGGCCTCAAGCAGCATCATTTAATTTGATCCTGTTTTGGGCTGTGGAATCCTCCCTCCTGTGTTGGCATTCATTATTGTGCGAGGGGGGCTTTCATCAAATCCCAAGCAGTGTGTGTGGTTCAATTAATCAGCGTGTTTGTGACAATGTGTGTTTGCAATCGGAAGTTGGAGGCATGTATGTAATTAGCACAAGACAAAGGTAAACTGGAGGAATGAAGAGGCTACACGGTCTTAATATGTCTGACCTCCCCCACCATGACGGCCAGTTAAAGAAGCAGCTGTCTCATCTGATGAATGAAAACATCAGAAATAAAAAATGAAACAAAGTGCACATCATTAGTATACACATAATACCAAGCAAATGTTATGATATGGAAAAGATGTCGACATGGCAGCCAGTGCAGACGTGTAAATATAGCAGGAAGATCAAAGATGAGACGAGCAAACCAAACCTTTCCATTCCGAAATATGGAGACTCAAGTATCTCTGTGATGGTAGTTCAAAACAAGAACGAAAGGAAAGTGAAAATATCTGCTGCCAAGTTTGTCTCATTCAGACAATTTAGTAACTTTTTTCAGGGGAAGTGTGGCAACTCTACCCCGTGAGGTGATAGAGAGAGGTGCGTGGCGGTGTACTTAAAACAAGACAGGAAGTTAGTTATTTTTACCGCTGATCAAAACGGTCAGCAGTTGCAGCTGCAGCAGTGCCTGTGACAGACAGCTCATAGAGGCAATTGAAATACTTTAAAATCCTTAGCTCTCAGCAATTCCCGCTGCATTTCTTCTTGAATTATTATTAAATAAATATAGAATGTATCTCCATAAAACAAATAAAATACGAATTATATATACAAATGTTATAAACACACAAAAAAAGACATAGGCAAGCTCCAGTACTTGCTTATGAATCCTCACATTTTTAAGTTTTCTTCACTGTCAAAGTAATCCAGTGAAAGCTGTCTGTACATCCAGGGGAAATTGCAAACAGGAACTGCCAATAGCTAATTCAGGCATACTTTCAATGCAGCCAATTTGCCAAAATATAAACAAACGAGGGCTCAGGTTTAGCATTTCATCCCTCAAAACATAATGGGAACTGTAGGTCCATAAATTATAGCATGATTATCACATTATTAATGAATGATAATAGGGGTGTCAAAATCCATTAAAATGAACTATTCTCATGTTTTGTTTTCTACTAGGCTTAGAATGTCCCTTCAACGTCCCTATCAACACTAATACTCTCCTCCATTCACTGCCCCAGACCCCAACGGAGGAGAGTATTAGCATTGAGAGCTCGCAGTTGCTGTGAAGGATATATATGGTCAGACTCTAAGTAGAAGACCTAAGAAACAGGATAAAACCGGACAAGCAAAAGTTCAGTTTCACAAAAAAAAAGTACTTGTACCACAAAGAATATAACGGTGGCCTTGGTTTCTCTGAGTTCTCTTGTTAAAAAGGGCAGGCACAATTACAATTGTACCTTGCAGGGCCCCGCTCAACCATCTGACTCTGGCAACTGGAGCCTGACTAAGACTGCCGAAGACAAAGTGTATTTACCAGCAAACTCAAGGTTGATTACAGAGTTTTCAAATGTCTTGTGGAAATCAAACAGAGTATTGTGGGTTTTCTTTGACACTCAAACATTTTGGACAGTTTGGCTCTTTCAGTTATATTACGTCATACACAGAGCGAGGATGCATATGAATAAAGTCTGACTATACAGG